GCAGATATTTATGAAGCAATTGATAAGCAAAGAGCAAAGAGAGAGTGATGAATCTTGCACTCCTTTACCATGTGAAGAAGGAAAGAAAAATTAAAGTTTTTTTTTTCTTCATTAAAAGGGCAACACTCGATCGAATGCGAATCAATTTCATCATTTTTTTCTACTGAGAATCATGTCCGAACAACTGCATCAACAATTGAAATCTTTATTAGTTGAATGTATTCAACATCCAGACCAACTTGACATGTATATGGGCAAAATTATCGAATTCTTCAAAGTTAATGGTGAACAACTTTTTGAAACGAATACATCATCTTCCCGACGAAATAGCAGTATTTTCGATGGGGATATTTCTTCAATACTTTCATCAACCAATCAACGTCGTCTCTCGAATACTTACAATGAAGCAGATATGGCGAATAATATCAACAGTGTGCTCTATGACAATGATGGTATTGATTGATGATCTTTTATTATACATCACTTGTCTATTCAAATTTTTCTAATAACATTTATTTCTTTCATTTCTAAATGTAACAGAATGCCTGTTTTTTTTTCTTATAGTAACATCCAAATCCTCTAGTTTTTCATAGTTTTTAATCATGCGTGTTTTTTTAAAAATTTGTTGTTTATTCATTTTTATAGCGATCAGTAATTTGACAACCATTGAATGATTGATTACTTGTAATTCCGGTGTATTATCTTGTTCGCATATATATTGTTATTAATGCATGAAATAAAAAATTATTGCTAATAATTATCATTTCAAATGTCTACTCTGTGATAAGCTTATCATATTGAAAAATGAGATTGACACTTCGTTGCTAAATGGAATTGCAAGTGAGATGATCGAGGTACATGATATGTAAACCATTTGCTTATGTATCAAAAATTTTCTTTTTCTTTTAAGGAAAAAAAAATAATCGTTCGACTTGATGTTTTAGTTATGGATGAAACTCTATAGAATTCACGATCATGACCTATTGATGAAGAGTCATAGTTGTTTTTACTGAACTTATTACTTAGAACAAGGAAGGCATTTCTGAAAGAGTCAAAATAAAAAACTTTGATCTGAATTTTTGACTATAGATATAACTAATCGTCATTAGAAAAAGTTGTGAAAGTTTGCAAGAAAATGAATGTATCTTTCAAAAGATGTTCAATTCTCTACATAAATCAAGTCTACAATTTAAATTCAATGATTATATATCTTATGAATGTGGATGTGACCATCTGTTGGATCAACAGAAAATAAATCTTCACACTTCAGTGATGTAAGAATATAGAAAATCGAGAATTTTATTTCAAGAAAATTTGAAGAAAAATTAACTATATTCTCTTAAAAACCGTGAACATATTGTTGACCCAATGCGGACAGTTGTCCATTAGATGCAATCAAACAATTAGTTGAGCCAAGTGCCACATCCAGTTGTCGTTGTGCACCGAACCATGAATATCGTTCTACCCAATGCAGCGAATCCAATCTAGCAATACTCTGTCTCATAAATTCGTTGACTTCTTGTTGAGAAACTGGTTGACTTGGATTCCATGATGTGCATGCAAATTCTGTGACCCAGACTGGATATTTATTACCCAAATGTTTGCGAACTTTGGTAATCCAATTAATGAAATTGTCCACACCACGACCATACCAGTGCAGGGCAAGAAAATCAATGTGTCCGCCGACTTTATTCAATTCGTTGAGAAATTGTCGCATCCAGTTGAGTCCTTGTTCAGTCGAAGCAATGGCCGGTGAACCGAGTCGAGCACCTTGAGCTCTGAGAGGTTCAATATATTGTTTCCAAGCACGTGCTGCCTCCACCGGATTCATATTTGCTTGATCACTACGTTCTGGTTCATTAAAACCGAGTACAACTTTTGCACCTTTTGCTTGATTGTAAAATTGATTTCCATTGTGGCCTTTGTTGGTACTCCATAACATTGGAACAAACTCAATGCCATGAATGTTGATTTTATAGGGTGACCAATTATATATCCAGGAGATCTTTCCACCAGAAAAAATATTCGGTGAATCTTGCTTGTTTTCAGATGGCCAAGCAATACCTCGTTTACTCGCACTATAATAAAAGAAAAATTGTCGGTACATTTCTCTTCAACAAAAAAAAACTACAAGTTGTGATCGAAGTTCTACCGGTATTTATCTATTCTGTACTCTATCTCAACTGCTTCTCTACTAATTTTTCTTGAACGAATCTTCTCTCAAATGTACTACGATTCGGCTAGCGAAGTTGAACAGTCTTCATCTTTCTCCTTCTACTAGATTGAGCATAGAATAGTGTTTTTTACCCTGATATGAGTGGTCCGATTGGATTATCATTCGTTACACCACAGACCATAGTCAGATCATTAGTCGAAAACGCATTGGTTTTAGAAACCGGACCCATTTTCATCCAAAAAGTACCACCATTCCATTGTGTCCAAGTAAAATGAGTACAGCGTGGTGTTGCTGAACATTTTCCACCGCAAAGTTCCGGTTTAATTTGAACATTTTCAAGATCATTGCCATGAAAGTCACAAGACATGGCTCAGTTATTTCCATTCCCCATAATATTAATATTGCTTTTTACAAGATGAATCGATAAAATATCCATGGTCAGAAAAGCAATTTTAGTCCAGAAAAAAAGACTACCAGTCATTTTGTGATACCGTTTGTTCAATGTATATATAAATATTACTCCTAAACATAGAAATTGTTAATTGTTATCAATTACAAATTCTGCTTAGCGAATAGATTAAAAATGATTTCAGATTAAAAAAATATTGATATTCATCAAAATTAAGCCTAAAAATATTATTTATTCATTGATATTTGTTCTACTCGTGAAAGAAAATTTTGAAAGATTAGTTCAAAAAGACTAAAACCTTGATACGGTCCAGGATTATTTCACAATTATTTTCACAAAAAAAAAAAATAACCAATTCAATATAATCTGTACCTTTCGGTATGTACTTCACTTCTGTCAGATAAATTGTCTGCAAGTGAAAACTACTGGACAATATTACACTTTCGATTTATTTGAAGTTATTTGCTTGAAATCGTCGATAGTGATAATAAATAAATGAATAAATTCACTGGGATATGCTAGGTTTTATATACAGAGTATAACGTCTTTTCCCATGATAACAAGATTAGTATGTGTCATTGAAGAAGAGATTTTTCTCACTATGCATGAGTCATGATGAAAGGACAGAGAATACAAAAAAAAAGCAATTATGTTGCGAAAGACAATTAATCACTTACTGGGATAACGAATATGATTATTACACCCTATTAGTGGAAAAAAACCCATAGATACTCATTTGCTTTAATAATATTCTTACACATAGCTACAGAAACAACATGAGAGTGATGATAACAATCAATTAGTTCGATTTTTCTCAAAACACAGGACACATATATATGAATAAATGTGTGTATAACCAGTAGGTCTCGAGTGCTACTGCATGTTCGCATCTTTCAAGCATGAAAAATGCTTTATTTGCTTTTAGTATTATCAATTATCGTCAGATTCAAATCGATCAGAAAAAAGTATTCAAAATGATATTTCCATACGATTATGTTTATATCCTTGTTGATTTTCTAAAGTAAGAAAAAATTATTCATATGAAATAAACGATAGCAAATGAAGCAACTAATTAAGAGAACTAAAAATTGAAATATTCTAGAGAATTGTAAAATACAGAAAGCAGACGGCGTCTGTATAAGAGTAATTCTGTCCGAATACCTTTTCATCACACACTAATTAGCATTCTAATTGTATTAATTGCTTGATTTTTATATACAGTAAAATTTCTCTAATATGAACCCCGTCGAGACCGATGTAAATCGTTCACATTAACAGGACGATCACTTTGGAGTAGGTTCAAGCAAAATTAAAGACGATGAAATTTTTTATGGTATGAGAGTTAAATGTATATATCATCTTCTCCTGTTTGTTATTTTATTTCTTCCAAAGATATAGTTTCCTTTCATTTTGTGTAAAAACGTTGCTTTTCAACAAAATATCACAAAGAATAATCTCACGTATGTCGTACAATTAGAGATTTCATAGGATTTAAACTAGTTTCACTTCGTTTGAATATTTAAATCCTTTGAACTTTTGTGTTTTTTTTTATGAAAGATGTGTTTATGTTGTAGGTGGACTTCTACAAACAAGAGTTGTCTTCACATTTTATACGTCCTTTTCAGCGCAAAAAACTGAACTTTGCTGATCCAAACGTCGTGAATTTTAGTATTAATTTTAAATATCTAGACTCTAGACTATACAATCTATGGAATAGTTTCCAAGGTTTTCAAACTTTCATGATGTATCTAAGAGTCATTCGAACTTTTGGCAACTAATCTCCCGCAATTATCGTTTATCCTATATATAAGATCATTTTTTTTGCTTTGTTTCAATTTTTAGTCCTATTTTCGTTGCAGTAGATATATTTTTTTGACTTTAGTGAGTTAGACAATCCCGAGCCACCAATGAACTTGGATGTGGGTGTGGATGATGATGGTCTTCTCACCCACATCCACACCCTCTTTTGAGGCCATATCACTTCAAAATTAAAAATAAATATCATCATTCGATGCAGTTTGGTCAAACAATCCCAACTTCATACTTAGGTCTGACCAAAAGTTCTAAGATCTTTAAATAAAAATATAAAGACAAGGAGATATTTTTTATTTAATTTTATCAAATGTTGAGGATAGTTGCTATGATTATTTATATCAAGTTGAATTCTTTCTAACAATTTATTAAAAGATTTTTTGAACTGTTTTTCGAAAAAAATATTAGCTACTTTGGATACCGCATGAGTACATAATATTTTATTTATTTAATTCATTAAACTCCCTTCGATAGAACTACTTAATCAAAGATTAGGTAGTATTAGGTACAGCGAATATGACTGCTGTCCAGACGGACAAATTTTTGAGAAAACACGTTTAAACGCATAGAAAGGGCGAAAAATGGACGTTTTTAGCTCACAGTCGGGAACGTCAAGTGTGAACCAAAAGCGTTCACTTTTGCTGATTTTAGGCCAATTTCTGTGCGCTTAAACGCGTTTTCTCAAACGTTTGTCTGCTTGGATGGCATCCTTTTTCCAGTCTAGCAAATTTGAAATATATTTGTATTATTGTGATTGCTTATTTCACTCTTACACCTTCACTCTTATAGAAAACTATGTTGATGATAAATTACTAAATACAACTACATTTTTTTTCTTTTAAGACATGTTAGAGAAGAAAAACAAGTTTTTAATTGGATGCTCAAAATATTCTTTAGAATCGTATATGATGAACGCATAGGACATTTTGAAAAGAACAGAATTTTGAGTAATATTCGTATTTCTGTATCGGGTGTGAGTGTGAGTGTTCTCTTGACCTAAACTCTACCCACACCCATACCTACCCCACTCCCCAAGCCATACACACCCACAGCCCACACCAGTGTTTTACATTACACACTTATGAAAACATTTACGGTCACACACGTATAATACTCGATGAACACTTTTACATTAGAATGCATACGGTAGACGTCACTTTCGGTTTCGCCAAAAGCTTCGAAGACGACTGAAGTTCTTCTGTCTGATGCACAAAAGCTTCAACCAATTCTCTACGCAGTTCTTCATCAGGAACGGGTACCTGTACTGGTTCTTGACTGCCATATAGCACGATAGTGTTGCCAGTGACGGTGACCGCAGTTCCTTGCAGAAGTGCAACGACGGTTATCACAGGAAGCCACACAGTACTTTTTGTATGCAGAAACACCTTTACGAATTGATCTGGAGGAACAGTTCTCAAGGCACCCAACTCACCTTCCTTTATACTTTCGAAAAGTTTCGAAACTGTATCGGAGGATAACTGTGTTAACGCCGAAACCGAAAGAAGAATCTTTTCAAGTGCTTCATCGGCATTACTATATCCTGTAACACGACGACGTGCATTCAATAATCCGTTGATCACGTTATCGGTTGCTGCTTTTTCACCCATTTTCCCAAGAACTTGACATGCACTCTCTCTAACAAACATAGACTTATCCCAAAGTACAGTTACCAACCCATTGATCACGTCATTGGTTGGTGCTTTTTCGCCAATTTTTCCGAGAGCTTTACATGCATTTTCTCTGACATGGTCAATATCATTCCCAAGTGCAGTCATCAGCCCATTGATCACGTTATTGGTTGCTGCTTTTTCGCCCATTTTTCCAAGAGCTTCACATGCCACGCATTGGATACCCCAATTCTCATCTCCAAGTGTAGTTATTAGCCCAATGATCACGTCATTGGTTGCTGCTTTTTCACCCATTTTCCCCAGAGCTTCACATGCTTTCCGTCTGACTTCCACACTCTTATCTCCAAGTGCACTCACCAGTCCATTGATCACGTTATTGGTTGCTGCTTTTTCCCCCATTTCTCCGAAAACTTCACATGCACACCGTCTGACATACTCATTCTCATCCCCAAGTGCAGTCAACACCCTATTGGTCATGTCAATGGTTGGTTCTTTTTCACTCATTTTCCCAAGAGCTCGACATGCCCTGCTTCTGACATTCCAATTGGCATCCGAAACTGCAGTCACCAGCCTATTGATCACGTCCTTGGTTGCTGCTTTTTCACCCATTTTCCCGAGAGCTTTCCATGCATTCTCCCTGACATGCGGCCATACATTCCCAAGTGCAGTGACCAGCCCATTGATCACATCATCGGTTGCTGCTTTTTCACCCATTTCCCCGAGAGCTTTGCATGCATTCTCTTGGACATTCCCATATTCATCCCCAAGTGCAGTCACGAGTCCATTGACCACATCATTGGTTATTGCTTTTTCACCCATTGCTCCGAGAACTTTGCATGCATTCTGTCTTATATTCCAATGCTTATCCTTGAGTGCAGCCACCAGCCCATTGATCACGTCATTGATTGGTGCTTTTTCACCCATTTCTCTGAGAACTTGACATGCACACCATCTGACATTCCCATTCTCATCCCCAAGTGCAGTCACCAGCCTATTAATCACCTCATTAGTTTCTGCTTTTTCGCCCATTTTCCCAAGAGCTTTGCATGCATTCTCTCTGACATTCGCATTCTCATCCGCAAGTGCAGTCACTAGCCTATTGATCACGTCATTGGTTGCTGCTTCTTCACCGATTTCTCCCAGAGCTGCGCATGCACGCTGTCTGACATTCACATCCTCATCCCCAAGTGCAGTCACCAACCTATTGATAACATCATTGGTTGCTGCTTTTTTACCCATTTTCTCGAGAGCTTTATATGTACTCTCTCTGACATGGTAATTCTCATCTCCAAGTCCAATCACCAGCCTATTCATAACATCATTGGTTGCTGCTTTTTCACCCATTTTTCCGAGAGCTTTACATGCTCTCCATCTGACATCCACACTCTTATCCCCAAGTGCAGTCACCAGCCTATTCATCACAACATTGACTGCTGCTTTTTCACCCATTTCTTCCAGAGCTTCACATGCTCTCTGTCTGACATACTCACTCCCATCTCCAAGTGCAGCCACCAGCCT